GGTCTGTTTTGAGTGGATTGCAGTATATATTGCCTATGGAAAAGAAAAATCCAAGATTTTCAGAGTATGAATAAAATCAGTCTCCTTTTTGGAACTCAAATCCACAAGGACACCAAGTACATCTTTTCACTACTTTTCAATCACTAATTGATCTACGAGGCTAAGCCGGACTTGGTACTTTTTCCATTCGATCAATCAGTCAATTTTCAGAAGCCTATTGATGCCAACAATTACCATCAAATTCCGTAATTACAACTGCATTAAGCTCACCATCTGGATTAGGTGATCAAGCTAGGTTGTCGATTAGTGCGGTAGTAATAGTCTTATTACTTCAAATGTAAAATAAATCGATATAGCTAAAAAGACATTATTCAGGCGAATCATATACATCATAATCATGTAACTTAAGACTAGAAGAAGACATCCTTTGATTTATAACTATTAACCATAAAACATCCCAGCAATCTGCGATTAAATTACCCTTATAGTAATCATGACAAAGTTCACGATGATAATAATAGTAACTATTGTAATCCCCTTGATTTGTTGAATATACGGATGCATCAGGAATTCTTGTACACTAAACACTCAGATCACAAACAGCCCAAGTAGAATTCTGTTTTAATGCTGTAAACACCACCAGTAGGTAAAGTGAGCGCAGATTTCTCTGTAGCTTGAACCAAACTCTGCTGTCAACTAAGTCAATCAGACTGCCCCCGGGACACCTCAATACTATCTGCGATGCACAGGAGCGTGCCTGGATCGGAGAAAGACTGTGTTTGCACTTGTGCACCAGATATTAGTTTAAACTACGCTGAGTTCCACGCTAGTGATTTGTAATTTTCAGTTTCTGGTTGTGTTTACAGTAGTGAGACGGAGGACTCGAGTTTTGGTAGCTCGAGATTCTGACCATTTGGTGTACGAGAGCTCCTGATGCACCTTCACAACGGTGGAGTCAATTTTTATCAAGGAGTTAAGATTAATCGAAGACTGTCTTGGGGAAAAAGATTCGAGATTAANATCTCTACGTCTCTAGAATGGTGAAATCTTCCATGTGAGCACAACCGCTCCCATCCCCACGCGTGTTTAATCGGCTGTCGCAGTCCACATAAAAACCTAAATTATCAATCAATGGACGGAAAATAAAAGAGTATCCTCTGTCTCACTTTAAGACTACAGAATCCCGACTGCACTCAATCTAATCACATCTTACATTCGAGCATACAATTGCCCGTAGAGCAATATCAATTTGATATCGTCAATCAGTTACTGAGTATTTCGACTCGGGAGTAGGGTTGACTCCTGCGAAGTTGATAATATTTCCTAGCGGCATCATCATATTTTATGCGTTCGAAGCTTTCTGCCTAAAACCGGTCTCCCTATCTCACACCGGTTTGTTCGTTCATCATATCTAGCTAATGGTAAGGCCAACATATACACAACCGGGCAGGTACTATCGACACAGGTGAATGGCGCAAATAGGATGAGTCGGAACAGCAAACCAAGTTGCGCCGCTGCAATACTGGTCCGATTAATCCGTCTAATTGTTAAACCGGGTACAGCGCGAAGGCAAACAGAGACCAAATGGAACCAAATGAATTTTTGATGGACTTTTCTATGCATAAGAGGTCATAATCACCCATCCGGTCTACTCGCTCGTTGGTGTTGCTCCCACATTGGTAAATGAGTGTGTGTGTGTGTGTGTGTGTGTGCGTGTGCTATCCAGAGGAGCCCGACCACTCACTCTTGGGCGTGTGTCTGTTTGTCTAGCCTTCGGTCTCCATAGCGTAAGGGAAATACTTCGATTTTCTACTTGGCGTGGACCACCGAACATTGTATTAGTGCTCACCTGGAGCAAACAGAAACAAGAGGGGACACGAGTAAATCATCTTAAATTTCCTCATTTGGTCATCTGTTCACGGGTTTGATTAGGAGCGATCGGGAGGTAGAAAGCTGTTTAGCATAAACTTTTGGGCCGTATTCATTTGCCTATACTTTGCGGAGTGTAAAATGTTGTGGTGCAGTGGATTATTCCGACAGTTATTTACACCGCTTGAAAGGGAGTTTTAAAAAAATTGATTGTGACAATCTGGATTATATGTAGCACCATTATGTTATCTGTCCATCAAATCAAAACGGGCTGTGCTATGAATTCGTCGTGCGAATAAAGCGTAAACTGAAAAGCCAGGAAGCACCGGACAGCTGTTTTGACTGTTTGGGTCTCATGAGCAGTGTGAATCCATCGACCCAATCGGGAATCAAATCCAACGCAAGCATATTGCCCAATTGATCACCGGACATATAACAAGACCCTTTTTATTCTTTCTTCACACAATATAGTATAATCAATCTATGGAAGCCTAATATGGACGATGTACTCATCAAATAGTAAAACCAAACACTCCACTGCTCTCTTGCAAAAACCGACTGTGTCATTATAATCTGGGCAGTTTTATTGTACGGCTCAGAAAAATGACCGTTTGGAATAGCATACAGAAAGCAATCGCCGATCCTTGAATAACGCTGAGCGTGGTACTGGAATCCGAAGTTTAGATAAGATTCGCTACTCATTAGTGATCACCTCAAATGTGATAATCATTATCAAGTTAGAAGCAAGTTAGGCATCTCTCTGAGGAAGATTCTCTTGTCATGAGGTGCTCTTTAAGATTGAAAACTTCATTTGAAATTCTCACAGTGCGCATTTTGCACGGAAAAGCTCTGGTTCGTCTGCGATGCATATTCATTGAAC